AGGAATATATAATACTTTAAACCACCAAAGGGCACATTCTATAAATCTGCATCCTGGCCACCAGCTCTCAGTCCCTCTCTTTCCATGTATCTAGAGTCCTCAGCTGCTCCCTCTCTCCATGCCCCCATCTCTGTTTCCATCTCTGGTGTCACTGCTTCTCTAGTTAAGGTCCCACATTCCGCTTGTGCTCTTCTTCCTTAGTGGTCCTAGGGTCCTCTGTTTCTGGACTGTAAGATTAACTACTTCCCTGTTTTTGTTACAAAACTTCTACCTTGACAACTGTGACAGTCGCAATTTGTCATGATAACTATTACTCCCTACTGAATCATAAGAATCTTATCTCCATCTCTTTTTACCAGATCCATCTAGACAGGATGAAAAGTATTCAGTGTTGGTCTTCCCCCACATACTCTTAACTATGTAATTATGACTGATGATATAGTGGAACCCCACCTGTCCATCTTGTGACTTAAATATACAGCTAAAACTGCTTTTAATTTCTCACGTCCTATTTGAGGAAAGTGATCTAAATTTTTACACGTTAAGCTCAAACTTGTCTAATTTCTTTATAACAGAAAGTTAAATATTTATGTTGTTAAATGCCATCAAGTAGGTTCCAACCCATAGTGACCCTGTATAGGGTTTCCAAGGAGCAGCTGGTGAGCTTGAACCAGCTACCTTGCAGTTCAAATGGCTTTGTAGTCTGGTGCACTAACCCACAGCAACACTTCAGGACTCCTAAACACTTATAGTATGCATATATAATCAATTTGATGAAGAGTTTTATTTTAAAAAAAGGCATGGAGACAGTGTCTCCTTTGTCTTCAGAAGTGGGGAAACGGAGAATCACCATCAGCATCAACCCAAGGCCAATTTTATGAGCAGAAGTAAGACATACCTCTACTTTTCAAACTTCTGACATCAGCCATCCCTCAGAAGGCACTCTCTGCTTCTCTGCTGGGTTTGAAAATTCATAGTGGTGGCCACACAGAATTCATACTGAAGACAAACCAGACTGATGTTAAAAAATACTGAGAGTTCTTTGGACAGAGACCCAATAACAACAGACAGTAACTTGAGATGAGATTAAAATACATGACAATAGCACCTAGACTCAACCCAGATACCGAAGTATGCAAAGTAAAACAGATTTATAAGACCCTTTAGTTGTTTGAATGATTTCATATTCCTGAGTCCTTTGGTGTACATAAAACAAACAAACAAACAAACAAAAAACCACGTAGGGATTGGAAGAAAATGTTGTTGAATGCATGGAGGGGATTGTAATCATTGCAATGAAACAAAATGCGATAGGATGAATGTAAAGCTGATGCTCTCCCATTTAAACTATCACTCAATTAACAATAAAAACTTCAAAAAAGGCGTAAGGCATGCCTGCAGTAAAGCAGACAAGAGGTGTTCTTGACTGGAGAACTGCTATGTCTTGAGTTGGTTTTGATCCTGAATTGTATGTACCCTGTTCACTTCCCTAATAAACCCATACTCATGAGTATTGTTACGAAAAAAAAAAAAAAAAAAATTCATACAGAAACCAGAGGTCTTAATGTTAGGAAAATGAATACTTGTAGTTTAGAAAGTAAGTCCACTGATAATGTCTAATATGAATTCAGAAATACTATTTTGATAGCTCAAAGGTGACTGGTGGGAGAGATACTGATATGAAAGGTGAATATAAATCATTTGATGTAATTTTTTTAGCTTTTTATTTTGACATAATTTCAGACATACAGGAACATTTCAGTATTAGTACAAAGAATTCCTATGTATTCTTCACCCAAGTTCCCCACATATTAATATTTTACTACTTTTGTTTTATCCTTTAAGCTGTCTGCTCCCTTGAAGATTTAAAATCTCAGAAACCCTGTACAGGCTTGCTATGAGTTGGCACCAACTCAATGGTAATTAACAACAACAACTCATTTTATATGTATATATTTACTTTTTTAAAAACTCACCAGCCACTCCCTGGAAACCCCATACAGGGTCTCTATGATTCGGAACCGACTCGATGGCACTTAACAATAACAGCAACAACAAAGTATTCTTTCTTTTTTTTTCTTAAATGTTTTATTGTGAATTATGTGATAGTTTACATGGGAGAACATTAGTTTTACATTCATTCTATCGTATATTGTCTCATTGCCAT